GTTCAAATTTAGATATAGCTCCCATATATATTTTAGTCCGATTTAATATAAATGGTGCACCAAAGTACCTATATATCTTTCTATTTGCACGAAATTTGGCACAGCGTAATGAATTAGGTCTAGAATGATTCTGATGCGTCTGTTAGGATTCATCTGTTGAATATACCCAAAGTGGTGAAGGGTATCATATAGTCGGCCCCGTCCGACTTTACAACTTTCCTTACTTTTTATATAGTTTATTTAACATGCTTCAGAATGTCCGATTTGATATGCCCCGTTTTGTTGCATGATTTGTTGCCATTTTAAAAGTAATTTCATAATGCCTCTCTCACAGAAGTCCGGCTCTCTATTTGCAAAAAAACTCTAGTATTCGATTTTCACAATCCTCTCTAGGTACCAATTTTTTATCATTAACAAAATTTTGCAATGGAAGAAAAACATGATAATCACTTGGTGCAAAGCCCGGACAGATGGCGGATGCATTAAAACTTCCCAACCCAGCTTCCGAAGTTTCTGACGAGTCACTGTAGATGTGTGTGGCCTAGCGTTGTCCTGGTGGAACACGACACCTCTCCTGTTGGTCAATTCTAGTTTAAAACAATTTTATGGTAAATTTTTAGCTCCAGAGCGATGTTACTGCTAATATATCAGTCAACTTCGATCATTTTTCCGATTTTATTGACATTTTCGACGACCGGCCTACCTGTGCTAGGTGCATCTTTAACATCAAAAATTCCTGAACTGAATCTACGAAACCAAAATTGCACATAATGCTGTTACAGTCTCGGAACCATAAACACCATTCACAATTTTAGCCGCTTGTCTTGCATTTTCGCCTTTGTCAAAGAAAAACTGTAAAATGTACCGAATTATCTCTTCCATTTTTAACACCTGTAACTCACAACAAAAAAAAAAATCTTCCAACGATCATGAATCTGACAATGTTTGATCGATACTTTACGAGAAATCTATCAGTGCAGCCATCCACCGAAAAAAAGCTTTTTTTCACATCCTAATATGCCCTTTTAAAATAATTTTTAAAAAACCCAAGCCTGTGGTCGTATATGTTCTTTGAAAATAATACTTGAAAAATCCGAACGTGGCCTTTAATGTCCTTTAAATTAAAAAAAGGATACCTATTTCGAAACCCAATCTGTATCTATTTTTAAACTAATTTTATGTTGTAGGAAAGCCAATAAAATTTCCTGTTAACTACCACAATCACAGCAATCATTTTTGAATGATAACATAACTGGAAATCTTTCAATATTGCAGTTTAAGGGAATTTTCCAGTTATTTGCATCTGCCCGACCAACCACAAATTATCAACAATATTTGAGCATGCCAACATTTGTCGTAGCATTGATTTTTATTTTTCCTAACTTTCATTTTCATTGTAAAAATAGGGTGACCATAATAGAAATGCACACACAATGACCAACATCCTTACGTAGAAGGACAGCTGCAGAACACGCGTTCTAAGCATGCAACACACACACACTCACCGCAGTTCTGTTTCCCCTTCATAGTAAACATTGAAAGATTTCATGCCATTCATGTCCTTGAAGTAATTTTCTACTATGTCAGTAGATATGTATGTTTGAAGGTGCATCAGAATGTAGGTGTAGATATTCACACTGAGTACTTATTCGTCAGTGTATGAGTGCAGATCCTTGTTGTAAAAAGTGTTCTCGTTCTTTTGTTGTCATGTATCCAAGTAAGTGTTTGTTGCATACAACCTACCAACCAGTCATTTGACAAATAGTCGTCGTCTGACGTACAGTAAGTCGCAATACCATTTGCAGTTAGTTGTTACGTTTTATGTGTGTGCAACTATGTAATTCATAGTAATGTTGCTGGTGTGTGAGAGAATGCATGTCTGTTCATGTTTGCTATTATGTCAATGATGCTCCTAAGGTACATCAAACATGAACATTGGGTCAAACAGTAATGGCAAATAACCCCTCCATTTTGTTATAATAACTTAAAGCATTTCAAAATGAGATTTCATTTTAACAATTTTTTTTCTTCAGCCTGATGTTTTTTCTTCAGCTTGGTGATGATGTTGATGTGAAAAAATGCTTGTCAATATGTAGAAATGAAGCCATCTTTGAATACTGGGAAGATAATGTCATGATTAAGGTTATTTGTGTACAGTTTATAGAGAAGTAGAATATTCTTTAGGGGTACAATTGCAAAATGGGTCAATGTTTTTGTTATATATTAAAAAGAAATATGTTGAGATATTAATAAAATATATGTAAACCAGTGAGCGGAGCAGAATAGTCGGACAAGATTGACCATTTGATACCCTACACAACTACCACGGAACACTAACCTTCTGGGATCTATATTCTGTGCTTGGCCGATTAGAGGTCAACATCTACTTTTTCTTACCCTGTCATATTTTGGGAATATTTTTCCCGGTGTGAACATGTATGCCATAATATGAAAATTGTGTCATTTTACACAGAAAGTTCTTGGTTGATTTAGCCCGCTGAATATTGGTCGATCAAAATAGCCATTCTAATTAGCTGACCAGTTTCCCTTTCCCATGTGATGTGTTGGTATGTTCGGCTTATTATTGTATTGTATTATAGAGTGAATTGAAAACACACACACAAATTAAGTTTCTGGTCAATTTCAACCCCTTAATATCATCTGATCAGATCCGAAAATTAGTGTAGAATATATCGACGCCTCCGAACCATAGCATACCCAGTCGACTTAGCATGTTTTAAAGTTCTTCGCGTTTTTAGATACTACGGTTCTTAATTTACTGAAATTTTGGTAATCATCGGCCAATCCAAACCAATGTTATAAGCAAAAATGTACTCAGCATGGCACGTACGATTAAAGAAACTTCGATACTTTGAAAGCATCTACTGAAAAACTCACTTTTCAGACTTAGCATACTATGGTTCGGAGGCGTCGATATGCTTTCTAGTGTGGTTATGGTAATCGGACGATCGGGTCATAATTGTGTCATCTAGAGCGACCAGAAAAAATAAAAAAGTTCATGGTCAATTTCATCCCCTAAGTATTAGGTTGGGGAAAAAGAAACCCATTATTTTTTCGGCAGATGCTGATACATTTTTCGGTACATTTACAGTTTCTTTGACAAAGGCGAAAATGCAAGCGGCTAAAATTGTGAATCGTGTTTATCGTTCCGTTGCTGTAACAGTCAATTATGTGCAATTTTGGTTTCGCAGATTCCTTTCAGGAATTTTTGATGTTAAAAATGCTCCTCGCACAGGGCCTACCTGTCGATAAAATCGGAGAAATGATCGGAGTTGACCGGCATGTTAGCAGTCGTAACATCTCCCAGGAGCTAATAATCGACTATAAAACTTTTATAAACCGTTTACACACCAAGCTCGATGTTTGGGTGCCACACCAATTAACAGAAAAAAATAAGGTGGTTCGAATTGCATCTGCGGAGCCTCGGCCAAACGGAATGGGATAGAACCATTTCTTGAACGGATGGTGACTGGAGATGAGAAATTGATAACATACGATAACCATGTGCGATAACGATCGTGGTCAAAGAGCGGTGAAGCACCTCAAACGAGGTATCTAGGGAGAATTGTAAAAATAGACTAGATGCTAAATTGTAAACAAAACCAAATTTGGGGAATATCAGGTCAGATTTGTATATAGCTCCCATATATATTTTCGTCCGATTTAAGGTAAACGGGGCACCAAAACCCCTATATATCTTTCGATTTGCACGAAATTTTGCATAGTGTACTGAATTGACTCTACAGTGACGCGTATCAAGTTTCAAGAAAATTGGATCAGATTTAGATATAGCTCCCATATATATTTTCGTCCGATTTAAGGTAAACGGGACACCAAAGTCCCTGTATATCTTTCGATTTGCACGAAATTTGGCATAACGTACTAAATTAGGTCCAGAATGATGTGTGCTAAGTTTCGTGAAAATCGGTTCAGATTTAAATAGAGCTTCCATATATAGTTTTGTCCGATTTAAGGTAAATGGGCACAAAAGTCCCTATATATATTTTTTTTGATTTGCACGATATTTGGCATAGGATACTGAATTGAGTCTAGAATGACGTGTGCCAAGTTTTGAGAAAATCGGGCCAGATTTATATATAACTCCCATATGTATTTTCGTCCGATTTAAGGTAAATGTAGTTCAAAAGTCCTTATATATCATTCGATTTGCACGAAAGTTGGCATATGGTACTGAATTAGTTCGACAATGATGTGTGCTAAGAAAATTGGTTCAGATTTAGATGTAGCACCCGTATATATTTTCGTCCGATTTATTGTAAATTGTGCACTAAATACCATTGACACAACGTACTGAAATTGAATTTGAATTAATCTATACAAGTTCTCTTGAAATCGATTCAGATTTAGATATAGCATAGCTTACATATATAATTTCGACCTATTCATGTGCCTGATTGATATTACATTTTAAACAGTGAAACATAGCAAATGTCGTTTGTAAAGTTCCTTTTAAATCTATTTACAAAATTTAGAATAGGAATAGCAGAATGGCATATGTTGGGATTAAAGTTAGTCCGTTTACTTATAGATAAATATCGCATATTTAAGTTCGGATACATATGCATAATATACCCAAAGTGGTGAAGGGTATTATATAGTCGGCCCAGTCCGACTTTACTACTTTCCTTACTGGTTTGTATTTACCAAATTTGATCAATTGGTTCGTCGAAGATTTACTCAGTTGAATAAATCGTCAATTTGGAAGTATTTGTGTGTATCGTACCAACACATGTAAGCTTTACTCACACCTACACCTACTTTTTACAACAAGATGTCCGAAATATGGACTTTTAACCACCATCCTTTTTCCTTTTGCGTCCATCAAAAAATGTGTTAACAAAATTTTGTTCATCAAATTGTTATTTGCAGTTCCATTTGCGAAATGGTACACCTTCACGGGGCAACGGTGAGTGAAGGAGAAACACAGTAAGGCTTGGGGGAGACGGCATTGCACTTACCCAGTATGACCAAAGCATTTCCCAGTAGACCGGCAAATCCAATAATACCAAAGAAGACAGGCACAATCATGGATACAACTCGTTCTAACGGCCAATCGGCCTCTATGTCCATTTCAACGAGATTATCGGGAGGCAGGGTGGTATTCAAGCCATCGGCAGCAGCAGCGGCGGCAACCGTGGCTATGCCGCGGCTTTTGCCAATGGCAAATGTGAAATTGCTACATTCGGTGGCATTTAGCCATTCGGCACAGGCGATGGCCATCGATGAGGATAATGTTTGTGCCTGTGGGGGTAATGTCTGATGTTGTTGTTGATGCTGCGGCTGATGTTGTTGACGCAGTTGAAGATTGCTGTGATTGTGGTCCATGGCTGTACTGTGTATGCCAATGCGTGTGTGTGTTTTGTTTCTAAGTTTTCCGGCCTCCGGGTTTTACGTTTCGTTAGCTTCGATATTTGTGCGTGGTTTATGGCAAATTTTCTGCAAATAAAAACGTTGTTCTTTCTGTTGTTGTTTTGGTTGTAGGCATCTACAAAAATTTTTGCTTTGTTAAGAGCCGTGAATGGCCAGCGTTAACTTGGTCTGTATTGTTTCGTGTTTGTTTCATCAGCAGCCACAATGGCAGCTGTTTTTATGAACCACACTTTTAGCAGCTGGAATGGCTATACTCGTATTCTGGATATTGTTATGCCTCATTTTCATAGCCGTTTTTTTATTCTTCTTTTCACTTTAGCTTTCGTTTCTAATTCTTGTGATGATTATTGTTATTGTCATTTGCTGTTGGGAATTTATGAGCAACTTTCTGTCATCCTCCAATGGTTATACATTTGCAATTAAAGACATCAAAATCGCCTGAGGGAGGCTATCTGCAATAAAAGAGAAAAATTACTTACATTAGTAACGTTTTAAATATAAAGACGTGGAAATTCTTTACAATATTTCAAAGTGATTTCTTTCTACGGCTACAATGCTAAAGGGCAAGATTATGAAGTTAAGAAGAAATTTGCTTTTCTTGTTTTTTGTCCTTTACTGTTGGCTTTGAAAATGTTTGGGGCTTTTCATAACTCTTTCAACAATTTGCTTAATCAAAGAAAAAAGAAAATGTGGAAAAAAGTTTTATGAAAAATAATTCTTCTTTCTCCTAGTTTTTCTTTTTCTAAATGTTTGCTGCCAATTATTTAGAGTAATTTTTTATCTACTCACCATGGTGTATTAAACTATTTTTAAAATTTTTCATTGGCACTTCAAAAACTTTTACCTTTTTCATTTAAAATGTGTCCTTAGTTGGTGATGATGACGATGGCGATGATGCTGCAGACAGTCACTATGAGTAGCTATATTTTTATATCCAGCTGTTTTTCTATGAGTGTGTATTCAAATGTTCATTCTGCTATTTCCAGTTTTTCTAAGAAGATCTTTGTCATTGGCATGCGGGCTTTAAATGACACACTTAAGTCTTATTGAGACTTTTATTTAGCATTGCGTAGTAGTAGTTTGGGTCTTTATACAATTCTATCTTATTTCAAAGAAAATGTTTGTGTACTTGTGTGAGCTTTTCATTTAATATTTATAACAAGTCTATACTTGGGAAACATGGGCATGCAAACATGTTAAGTATTCAAAGAAATCAGACATTATTTTTATATGAAAGTAGCCATCAACAGCTTTCTTTAAGAAGAACAAATATAAAGAGAAGGCTCTTTTTAATCGATCTAATCATTGGGAATCATTTATAAATTCTTCTGTTGGAAAACACCTAAATTTAGACTGTATCGTATCACATTCTAATGGAAAATCACTAAAAAAAGGATCTTTAGACTGTCTGCGGGTTAATTTTATTGGTATGGAGATTAGGAGAACTCAAGTTATGATATATCTACAGGAAAGTTCAAAATAGGAATAACATATACTTAAAAATAACTATATCAACTAGATAGTTCCCACCATCATGCTTAAAGGTACTCCCCATTCTCAACTTGAAACTTCAAGTGGAAATTTCAAAAACTCTTTAAGATATAATCGATTTATTGTGTAATCGACAGGCGATTCTCAACATTTTAATGTATTTTTTTTTTGAAATAAGGTCCAAAGGAAGAAGCGCAAGGTGTTTCCTCGCTTTTGTGCTCGTATTGCTGCCTTGTTGAATGTTAATTTTTTTCCGATTAATACCTTTCAACTCTATTGTTCGGACCTCGGGAATAATTATCGTATACACGGTGTTTTTTTGGCGAACAAATCACGTTTTCTACTTTGATTTAGACATCCTTTTGATCACGTCATATTTTCTTGATGTACGGGGACCAAAAAAGTGATTGGGTGCCACTTCGATGACTAGAATTGTGCCAGAAGACTAAAATTGTGCAGGATCCAAAGACATTATTTTGATGCAAATGTGGTATACCCATTTGTTTTTAGATTGCAAAATTTTTATTTTTTATTCCATTAAATTGAAATTTTATACTTAACATGCTACATGTGTTGTCTTTCCTTGTATCAATTTGAAAATAATACTATTCTAACAATTTAAGAGATATTTGAGAAAATATTTGAAATTCCATTAAAAGTGGTTTTAAAAAAAAGTGTAGGTAATGTGGTATACCACATGATGTTAATGTGGTATAGTATAACTTTCACTTCCAATTCATATTTTATAAAATTTATTGTTTTTAATGAATGCGAATTAGCTCGAGATTTATGTCTGTTAAGATTTTTAAGGAATACGTTGAGTGGAACTTTAATTTTTATTACATAATAATATTTACACAGGGCAATATTTAATTTTTGTATGGAGAAGTTGTTAAAACTCATGACCTTTGTTTTTCATCCTTGTGATTCATGGTAGACTCTCGTAAAGTACAAATGTTTCAAATAGTAATGAGATTTTGTCTAGAGCTTGCTTTTTTCATGCAGACTCAAGGTATACCACATTACCAGCACTTGTCTTTACTGAAGAAATGTCTAGTTTTTGTCCTAAATTGGTGACTATGTGGTGCAATGACGGATATTATTTGATTTTTAGTTCATACTAATCATTTTAATGCTTTAGTAATAACGATTAATTTACATCCGTAAAACAAAAAAAATATTTTTAAGCTTCAACCAAAAAAGTCAATTTCAAAAAATTTAATTTTTGGTACTGATTCTCAACGTGATTTAAATAAATTAAACAGATCATTGCTATCTTATTTTTTTGAGAACAACAAACTATAGAACATGTTTCAGTTATTCTAAAATTTTCAGTTTACCAAAAAAGTAGTGACTATACCACATTACCATCCTATACCACATTTGCATCACTTCCTCTATGTCTTAATGCAGTATCGAATAATCGTCCGATGTAAATGTAAATGGTGCACCAAAGTCCCTTTTTTGCCATTTGCGGGAAATTTGGCATAGCGTACTGCATTAAGTCTAAAATGATGTGTGTTAAGTTTTCATTGCAAAATTGCTCGACTCGAAAGAGTATAAATAATCACTTAAAATGGTTTAGATTTAGATATAGATATTTTCGTCCAATTCAATATAAATGATGCACCAAAGACCTAAAGTTTTTCCGATTGGCATGAAAATTTCTTTCGATTTTATGTAAATTGTGAAATTCCATTGAAATATGTATTCTCTTTCAATGGTTGGCTCTATACAATAGTACATCCTCATTTTCGGTATTTCTCGAGATTGGGCACGATTTTGACGAATTTATTGGATTTTCATTGGTAGAAAATCAAGTAAAGTGGGACGGGGCCGACTATATGATACCCTTCACCACTTTGCATATATTGTACATATGCATCCTAACCCTTCACCGCTTTGTATTTATTCTACATATGCATCCTAACATTAACCTAAATGTACAGTTTGATACGTTGTGCGGAATTTCGTGTCAACCAGACAAACTTTAGGTCTTTAGTGCACAATTTACATAAAATCGAAAGAGAATTTCGTGCCAATCGGAAATACTTTAGGTCTTTGGTGCTTCATTTACAGAATCGGACGAAAATATCTACATCTAAATCTGAACCAAACTTAACATACCTCATTTTAGACTTAATGTAGCACGCTATGCCAAATTTCGCGCAAATCGAAAAATAGGAACTTTGGTGCGCCATTTACATTAAATCGGACGAAAATATATATGAGAGCTATATCTAAATCTGAACCGATTTGTTCCAATTTCAATAGGGTTCGTCCTTGGGTCAAATTAATGAATTGTGCCAATTCTGATAATAAATGTGACCTGTACTTGGTTTACAATTTAACATGGACAGACGAACAGACATGCATAAGTCGACTCAGAAAGTGATTCTATGCATCTTCTCGAAGGGAAACATGTGTCTATCTCGTTTCCTTTTGCACAAATACATGATACCCTGTGCTACTTCCCTGCGCAGGGTATACAAAATTAGGAACTCAAATTTCTCTGGTTTGATATTCTGCGTTCTAAATGAGTGCCGTTTCGGTATAGCACCCATGTAATATTAGTGTTTTGAGTATTTTGGGCGTGTTCTAGGATTATAAACTTCGCCTGATTCCAAGAATTGTTTTAAAAAATATTTAATGCTTTTGCTCAATTTTTTTTTTTGAAAATTTAAATGCTTTTTTGAAGTTTGAGTAAAATAAAAATTTGATTTTTTAGGCAGTCAGAGCCATCCGAAAGGGATATGTTCCAAATATACTTCGAGGCCAATTACAAAGAGAGAGAGAGTTCCGATCATAGATTAAGCATTGCATTTTTAATGAAGATCAGCCAATGTTTAATGGGTCAAATAGACCCAGACTTTTGTGTGAAAAATAACAAAAATAGCACTCTATGGTGTATATATTTACTCCTGCAGTAGAAGTTGGCAGTGTATTCTATGGGAGTAAAGATCGCCACTGCTACACGGGGAAGGGAATAGACCCAACTAATTAGGATCTGATATACTGTATGCAAAGTAAACAATTTTCGTAAGGGTGTTTGTTAAGTAAAATTCCCATTTTTAAACCCTTGTCCTATTACCACTTTCATTGGACCAAAATGTGAATTATTGAATTATGGATTTTAAAGCCCAAGCATCTTTGGACCAATCTCATTATACCCTACACAGCTATGTTGTCAGGGTATTATAGCTTTGTCCAGCCCCAAGAGTTTGTAACGCCGCGAAATATTGGTCCTAGGCCCACCGATCGTCATATCTCGACTAGCTGAGTCGATCTGTCCGTCAGTCTGTACATTATAATTTGTAAACATGATACAGGTCACAGTTATGTACCAATCTTCACCAAATTTTCCATATAGGATGGGTTCTGCCCAATGAAGACCCCTATTGTTTTTGGTAAAGGTCGGTTACTATTAAGGAGATGAAATGGTACAAAAACTTTATTATTCTTTG